GTTTGGAAAGCGACAGGATGATTGTGATGTCTTGGGGTGCAAGGGGGGAAACTTGAAATTTGTGGGGCTGAGGGTTTAGAGCATATAGGTTCAGGGCTTCAACAGCTCTGAGTTAGGGTTCAGTGCTTCAGGTTTTGGAACTTGGTACTTCCTGCCGTGTGCTATGTCCCAGTAAAGACGGTTGATGTTGCAGGTACTTACAGTATTAATGAAAGTTTGGGGAGGGGGGGAGGCTTCTCTTGGAAATTTGCTGGTTGGCTTGAACTAATTACCCTGCACGCGGTGTGACATTCGCACATGAGGAGTTCTGTCGAGCATTCTTGCTTGGGAAAACCGTGGAAAAAACAACGTGCCGGTTGAAACTTGCGTTTGTGCATGTGCGACGGCCCGTCGTGCAATTCTTCCCAGAGGAAAGACCAAAACGTGCCGGTTGCAACGTGAGTTTTTCCCATTTGTCACTCCCCATTGCGCGTTCCACTCACCAAGCCGTCCTTAAGATGTAACATGGGAAGAAGCATTTAAGCCGTCAGATGCCCTCAGGAGCCAGTAGACCAGAGAACCTCGCAGCCCCAAATACTACAGGTTGCCACTCCAAGTACATGACGCTGTTTTCCTTGTGGGCTGTGTGGTTCGTCGCTTTCCCTGGGATACCCCGCCTCCATGAGAAGGAGCGGTGCTGGACTCGCACCATCCCAGCCATTCCATCCTCATCTCGACCATATCCAGCAGAATTCCAAGTCCCGAGCTTGCGCGATACTCTGCACCCGGATTTTAGGGGCAAGCTTGTCGAAAGCGACATGTTCCAGGCAATTTCCTCAAGATTCAGGTCGAATTTAAAAACCACAGATTATGGACATTTGAAGCTAAAGGAGCAGAGTCGGATACTGTACTGGAGCAACTGAGCAGCCGATGAAAAATCGTGTGAGATGCGCAGAGGCTCAGGGAGTGGCATCGAGCTGTGTTGCCAGCCGCTCGGTGACCTGTCATTCCCAGGTCTTAATTTCTTGTGAAACTATGCTCCAAGGCCTCCTGAATGATCTGAAGGCAGCTGCGGCAGCTGCGGCAGTTGCGACAGCTGCGACAGCAGCCCGCCTCTTCGCAATGCTGCCCATCCGCCTGTGCCACCGGCCCAGCCTCAGAGACACGTCCTGTCACATCCACAAGTCCCGAGATGACATGAAATGATGCTCTGCAAGGCTCTGCAGTCTGTGGAAGGAGCGCATCGGCCAGCAGTGAGTCTCATGATGCTGACTGCCTGAGCGGCATTGACGACTCGAAAGTGCTGGCAAGGAAAAGAAGAGCGCTGAGAGCAATGCAATGCCGCAAATGGCTCGCAATCCGTTGTGACCTCAAACTCCAGACGCTTCAGGGATCTCGCATGAAGCTCAACGGCTGAAGTGGCTCGACCCAGAAACCTGGTTGAGAAACCGACGCCCGCAACCAGCAAATGCAGCCCTCCAGAAGCAGCATCATCAAACCACGTACATTGGGCACGGCCGCGTGGGACAGCGTAACCAGCTTAGCCAGTAACTAGTACCACAACAGCCACGGAGCAGCCTCATTCCGCTGCCACTCAGTGCCCATGCACAAACCTCTTTGCAGCCTCGCTGGGCAGAACCAGATGTCGGTAGATGCACCGATGACCTTGATGATCTCAGACTCGGGCGCGATTCCGGGCCAGGGCAGCGCAGAACCGGCTCCACAAAGAACCTGAGCAGCTGCACACTTTGTGGCAGTCCGAGCGATGGTGACCGTGCGTTCGACCACAAAACAAGCTGTTCTGTGCTGTTGTGACATTTCCCAACCACAGCGATCAAATGCTGTCCCCCGTCGAGTAGGGATCCCCGAAGATTGCACAAAGTTCTTCAGCCGGATCTCTGAGCAAGTATACCTTGTAGAGCGAATGTTGTTACTCATAACATGTCATATATGCACATGATACGAACTATCTGCATGTATACAGGCAACCGATTTGCGCACTGGAAGAACCGATTCGCAAAATGCACGGACCAGATTCGCGCACTGAGACGGCGGATTCGTGCATCGTCGGATTTCCGCACTCAGATGGTCGATTCGCCACTGAGGATTCGCACACTGAGACGGCAGATTCGCGCACTGCTCGGGCAGATTCGCGCACGCAGGGTGCGCGAACTGACGCGGCCCTAAACCCGAAAAGGGGTCCAGCCCAGCATGCTGCTCAAAATTTAAGACCAAAGAATCCTATTCATTGAGTCTCTGAATTAACATGCAGATGGCGTGCAACTTTGAAACGTGATCCCATCCATCAAACAAATTGAACTTTCCGGGCTACGCTCTTATACTACTTCTTCTAGTGAGATAGATTAATTTGTTGTGTTAAGTTTATGATGCAAATAATTGATCGGGTTAGCTAAGCTAGCATTCAGGTCGATCACACTTCTTGTTTCACTTCTGCTATGTAAAACTCCAGGAAAATGGAAGATGATGCAAGAACGCCAACTACACATTCAAGTAATATTGCGAGAGCAAGAAGGACAGCAACGTGAGCGTCCACCCCCAGAGAATCCCGCAAGAGTCCTGCCGAGTATCCCTGGAGTGCCTGCTCCCAAAGAATTCCATTCTGAGCCTGCGACGAAGTATCCTTAATTTCCTGTCCGAAACAGCAGGCTCCCACGTCGAAGAGTTTCTGGCGTTTTCGCTGATTTCTCAGGAGCCCTTCTTTGGAAGGGCCGAATGAGTCGAATGCACCATGTATAAACCATGGGGAGCCCCACGATATCGTAAATCAAGTTTGCATGTGCCCGAAGCAATCAGACGTGATGAGGTCCAGGCGAGCAGCCACGCCAGCCTTACTTTGTCATCCACAACTTGACTGCAGCTGGTGGATGGGGTACATCATACTGCGCCGCCAGCTTACTGCCAAGAACAAGCTCATAACGTGTTTTTTTTAACACCTCGCGCCACATGTTGACGTTCCTCCTTCTAGTGGGACTCCCGTCCAGCACACTGTTGGATCCATGTACGTTGGATCCATGTACGTACCTCCTACCTAGACTCTATAAAGCTGTAGCTATAAGCCTGATCAGGACCAATCTGGAGGCAGCCCGCTCAGGAAGCAGTCAACTCCGCAACATCTCCGTCCTGACAAATGGGCACGGCACATCTCCTCACATCTCATGCATGGCTCGAAACTCATGCGGCTCAGTCCTGGGCTGAATGTATCTGAGGTTGAAGCGCACTGCAGAACAGCTTCTCTTCCTGTCTCTCCTCGTCCAAATCTTCCAGGCTCAAGGCTCATGGCCACCGAAGAAATGTCCTGTGATGTTCTTGTCCGTCAAAGTTGTGGCAACACAATACAAACCTGGTCGGAGTCGAGTTTGGGGCGCTGCACGGGCTTCTACGCAGGGTGATCGCAGCTCCGGGTTGGCAGCTGGGTGGACTGGAGGCCCTCGGCGACTTCATCCTTTTGGATCTTTTGCCGCTTGCCAGGATGCGTGGCATCTGTCTTTGAGATAAGCAGAATTTCGCGGATGTTGGAGCGTCCATCCTCCAGCACTTTGTCCACCATGACACTAAAGCCCGCTTCCCTGGCTGCTGCGGCAAAGGAAGCCTCACCAGTGCTCGACTTTGATACGTGCCCCTTAAGCCACCTAGGTATACCAATTGTGTGTATGATCATCACTTATCACCTCTGTGAGCCCTATAGGCCTTCTATATCATGATAGGTGTATAAAGGCTGCTTGCAGGCGAGGTGCCGTGCCGCCTCCACAGCCGAAGTAAAAGCGCTTCCCCGCGAACCAGGCCCGCCCCCCAGGTTCCAGGCGTTCCAGCAAAGCCAAGAGATCCGGGTAAAAGTCCACCTCTTAGATTTCTCAACTACTAGAAGCGCCCTTGGCGCGCTCGCTTAGGCAAAAACAAATCCGTTTTTTGGCTCGGAGGCCAGTAAGAAGCGCTCAGAGCCGGCCTTGTACACTGCTTCTGACGCGATGATGACATCGTAGAGCAGCCCAGCAGCTTCCATCTGAGAGGCGCTGTGACATCTCGCAAAGGTCTACTGAGAGTCTACAGTCTGAGTACCAAAACGTCGAAGAGCTTATTCCTATAAACCCCTGCTTGAACAGGGCCTACCCCTGCAAAAGATCCGAGGCATAAATGTGCTGAATTTGATTAATGGCCTTGGCTTCTCTGGACACCTTCTGGACTCATCGAAGCTATTTGAATTGAACTTCGCTGCGTCAGATGAGCATTACGACTGCAGAGTTGTAGAGTTTGCCATTGCCTTGTCCTTCAGCAGTGTCCAGTCACCGGCGACGAAGCGGACCAAGGGATCAGGATTATGCTGCTGTCCTGACGAAGCGGCTTCAACATTTAGCTGCGTGCACGCCCGTTCGACTGCAATCGCTCCTGCAATATCTGCCCGGTTGACATGGATGCCATTGGCAACGCAGTTGGCCGCAGTGATGTGGCGCAACGTCTGCTCACCTCCAGTGGGACATAGGTAGAATCTGTACCAAGCTAGAAAAGGCCTGTGGCACCGATACCTGATGCTACTGCTACAGAGGTTTGAGAAAGAAGTGCTGTGGAGTAGCTGGCAACTGTGATGTTTTGCAAAATTGTGCGGCTTTCGGTGCCCGATTTCTTTCGAATGGAAAAGCTCTTCCAAAGGCCTGCGACGGGCAATTTCTTCTGAGTCCTTGCAGGGCCTAAGATGGGCCCCTTCAAGCCTCAAGATGGCAAAACCACCAGAACCCGGACAAGCCTCTTTTAAACCCCCCCCCCCCCCAAAAAAAAAGAGATGGCAAACACACACACACACACAGACATATGGGAACGAGCAGCAGGGTAAACCCCGTGCAGAAGATCAACGATACCAACAAATCCAACTGATTCAGTACTAGAGTTACTAGAGGATGTTCATGGACAACACTCCGATGATAGGCGCACTTTCCGAAACATCAGACACAGAATCACATTGGTCTTCATTTGCACGAGGATGCGTGCATCCTTGCTTCACAAGCTCTAGCTGGGCGTCTTCGTTGGCTCTCGTCCTGGTAAACGGTTAGGCTCCGAGCGCCCTGTTTTTTAGTGTTACTTCCCGTGTCATCGCAAATTAGGGTTGCCCACTCGCACAAAACAAACATGAAACAAACCAAGCAAAATGTAAGCAGAACCAACAACAGCCTCGTAGCTCCCAAACCCTCACCTTCAAGAACGAACGCCCCCCCCCCCCCCGGAACACTTCCTGAAAAACACCAAAAACTTCAGATTCAGGTGCTGAAGTCGTGGAAGTCCACGCGGCAGCCCATCCTCAGGGCCATGAGCCCTGGCAGCCCATGTCCGGCTCCCAGCTCCAAGACCCGGCCTTTGCGACTTTTTGGAAGGGGCTTCGGAGTGAAGGGGGTCTTCGCGGCTTCGGGTCCCAGCCCACACTTTGGCTCTTGGGACTCTTGGGACTTTGAAGTCGAGGGCCTCAGGACGCTTGAGGCCTTCGTCAGGCTCTTGGGCCCTTGTTGTTTGGACGTAGGGTGGGGTATCGTCAAACATAGTCTGTTAAGTCTGTCGACAGCTTGCACACTTGCACAATATTAGCTTCTTCACTTCGAATCTTTCAGCGAGGCGGCGGCCCCCAGGCGACTCTGAGGCTAGATCCGAGGGATCCATCCTGGCAAAGACTGGCAGGCCCCGGCTGCAAAGCTCTTCATATGGCGTTTCCTCCCATTGCTCTCTCAGTAACCCTCCGAGTTCCGAGTCCTCAAGCATAGCTGGAGGTGCTGGGCCAGGTCAAGGGCCCCCTGCTGAGTTCAAGAATCTGTTTGCCCCAAGTCTGCCGGAGACTATCATGAACAGGGCCTCCCAGAGTAGCCCTCCCGAGGCTTGGTCCACGGAGTCCGGCTGCAACTCCTGCGATAAAAAGAACACGGAAAGGCCTCTGAACCACCGCAGAAGTACTCCATGGAGTCCTGGGTTTCCTGGACCACCAGGATGGGCTGGGTGCCCTCCAAGCGCAGCTCCCGGCAGTCGGGTGCCTTAACACCTCAGAACCAACGGCTCATGACTCTGACGGTGGCCACTCTGTGGCCCCCAACATCCAGGGCCTGGATCTTCAATCCGAAGGAATGTTGACTCCATGGCAGGCCAGAAATCTTCTTGCCGTGGATATGGCCATTGTCGGCAGGCTACCTACCCCCGTTGACAGTGTGCTTTTCGTTTGCACCATATGACATATTGAAATAGCTTGAGAACAAGAGCTGGATCTAGCAACAGCAGCAAAGCAGCCTAGCGCATGCACAACACACATGAGACTATCTTCTCGCCAGTTCTGAACACAGCCCATCTCGAGCCGATGTTGACAAATGGTTTATCCATGTTGGCCCCTTCCTCGGTCTGCTTCCTGGTCATTGGATCATTGGGCACCAAGCGGAAACCTTGAAAGTCGCATCTGTCCACTTGCACGTGGGAGATGCGTACTTCGTCGTGGCCTGGAGACTCTAGTCAGAAGGCACGGTGGCAAGCCCGCTAGTCGTGCTAGTCTCCAGCTACACCAGCTGGGCCCTTAGCCGTGCCCAAGCAGCGTCGTGCTACCATCTCGAAAAAAGACCTTGGACACTCTAACAGATTGTAGCCAGACACCAGCAGTGGGTAGCACGTCCTCTGCTTCTCGCGGTTGAATTACAGAAGGCAGCAAAGATAAGCACAGCGATGGTTGCGCTTCTAGAGATGAACGTCAGAGGAACCATAAGCACAGGTGGATGATGGTGGCAAGCACGGCTCCTGACCCCACCTCCTGTATCGCTCCAGTCACTCCAGTCCTCAGAATTGATGTTGAACGCGATTGCTCTCTCCCTTCGTCCTTACCCCCATTCCGGGCACCCCGGCACATATGCTGACCCCGTGCAGGTCCGAGACCTGTGTGAGAGATAGAGAGGGAGAGAGAGGGAGAGAGACAGAGAGTGAGAGAGGGAGAGACAAAGAGCGAGAGCGCAAGAGAGAGCGAGGGAGAAAGGGACAGAGGAGAGAAGAGAGAAGAGGCAAACCAAAAAACAGATGAGAAAGCAAAACTTCATGACATGAATGCAAGGAACCAAACAAGTTGCCACGACACTGTTTGCCATATTGCGTCCGGACTAGCTCTTTCCACTATCACTACCCTCCCTTGCCAATCCTCCTGAGCCTCGGGCAAGGTTCAGCTCTACCGCAATCTGCGCCGGCCCCATGCCGAAGGCCAGCATCAAGGCCAAGATCTCGGCAACGACAAAGTGGGGGCTTGCCCTAGAGACAGTGTACACTAGGACCCTAGAAATTTTGAGTCGCTTTGGGGGCGACGTGGGGTTCGAATCCAAAAACGCACGAAAATCAAGGCATGTGCAGGGCTGTCTGTGTTTCCAGAGGCGCCCGTGCGTGTGGTGTTCTATGCCTCGACCAATTTCTCGATCATGTGTTGGTCGGTGTCCCGGCCCGTGTCCTGCTCTGTGTTCCGGTCCAAGTCTACTTGCGCGCATCCCTCAGTTGGTGTCCCAGTCGGGGTCCTTTTCGATGTCAGGCTGCCATGTCTCGATTAGCGATCGTAGGGACCTTCACGCCGGAAACACGTTGTTGGTGAAGGCATATGATGCGGAATCCGGGATTTGGTCGGTTTGGCGCTGCGGTCGATGTCCAGGTGCCATGGTCAGCATGGTGATCGGTGTTTCGTTCGGGTGTTGGCTGCTATCCTGGTTGGCATCCCCCGGCATCCCTGTAAGTGATTTTCGACTTTGCGTGGATAGCCCCGGATTTTCAGGTCATGGAGAATTATCATTTCCCTGTGAAGAAATGTCTTAGCTTGCTTTTAGGGTACCTGACACAAGGACCCTGACAGTGATTGTATGCGGCAGGCCGGTCTTGGCAGTGAGGCGAGCGCTATCAGCCACACGACGGCAAGACCGACTTGCCGACCTTCACAGGGAATAAGGGGAGGTGAAGGGGAGGTAGAAAAGTCGAAGACCTGCTACCACTAGCAGCAGCATTGAAACACTTTCCCTCTCCTTGTATTCTTCTGCTTCTCTCTCTCTCTCGCTCTCTCTCTCGCCCTCCCCGCTCTCTAGCTCGCGCTCTCTGTGGCGGAGCCTGAGTTTTCGTCCGGGCAGGCCGTCCCACTCATCACGTGAACGATGTAGACTCCGCCTTGATGAAGCTGCGAGCCAAGTGCTAAGCCTCACAGCCTGGAACTGCGTGTTGCTACTTTTTTATGTGCATGCACATAAAAAGTCTCAGCACACATGCCCTCACAAGGAGAGGAGGTGACCCCCATCCCGAACGTCCCCTAATCAGGGTTTGCAACAAGGGTGCCTTCTTCGGAGCATCTGCAACTTGAGCATGCTTTGGGCTTGGGCACTCCCTCCTCACTTCTCACTTGGCGCTCCCAGGACCCCAGCTGGCGCAAACCAACATGATCGACACCACAGCCTTTGCGAAGCTAAGTTTGCCCTTGTGGAGCCAATCTGGCAAGGAACGTGCTAAACTGTGCTATCCTGGGCTCCAAGACAATGAAAGGTCCAAACATTCCTCCGAGATGTCCGGAAGGACCTCACAAGCAGGGCGGTTCACACAACCTCAGCTCTGTTTATTCTCCGATCTTTTGCTCGGTTGCGCATGCTTGCAGTTGTGTGAGGCACAGACCGAGTAGAATGCCTAGTAGGCACAAGGCGTACGCTCCCAGGCCTGGAAATCAGTCTGCACATGTCTGCTTAAGTCTGTACAGGACTCCATAGCCTCAAGCACACACTCTCCTCTGCCACGGCGCTGCCTGCTAGGCCCCGCCGCAGCTGGCGAGCCAAAGCCATGGCCCTGGAAAACAAGTCGACTCTCATGGGAAAGAGAGATAGCTGTCGGCTGTAGATGAACCACGCGCCAAACAAAAGGCATAATTCCAGCTCAAGCCAAAGCAAACTTTGAACCACCAGATTGCAACAAAGCCAACCTCGGCACCGGGAAACGTGGGCTTCGCAAGCCGCATGTGGCAGGCGCGAGGAGGACCGCGAGCTTGTGCTTTGGGCTTTGGGCCTACGCATATCAAGACATAAGTCGACATGGGATTCGGGCCTCTAGCCTTTCACTTCTGTATGTTGGAATCAAAACTACGTAGAACTTTGACAGATCACCTGATCACTACGATGCAAACCTCTTCTGCCTACGTCGACGTCGCATTACTTTGCCAAGGCGGCTTCGGCAAACAACAACATCGCGCGAGCACGCCGTGTGCCAGAAGATCCGCATCTCTGCCAGTTATTCTTTGATGAGCACTGTTCCTTCGCGCCAGGGTTCTGGATGGGATCCCAATGGTGCGCAAGCACGCAGCCTGAATGCACGCATTCCCAGAGCGGTCTCTCTCTCACTAAACGCGCCACGCGCGTGCTCCATGAAGCCGCCAGATGGCTTGGCCATCGGAAAAGCGGTGAGCACAGCGCTCGGATGTCAACTCCAAAGCGGGTGAAGTTCGGGCAAAGGAGGCCTCTCCAGGCGTAGAATCGTAGCGCGACCATGCGCAGCTGCATCTGGGTGTGACATGATGTGACTGGGTGGCAAGCCCATTCGCAGCGGGCCCGAGGTAATTATAGGAGGAGGCCTAACAGCGACATCTGCCAAAGGGAGACATCAGTTGACAAAGGGCCTCATGGATCCTCATGGCAGAGTCCAACTTCTGAGGCGACGGGCGGCCGCGTCGGCTTTGCTTCGCCATGCCTTTGCCGCGTTGCTGCGGTCGTGCACCGCACGACCTAGGTAACTTTCGGCAGAAACGCTTGCACCAACTAGCATCGGTGAGCTTGGAGGGCCAATTTCTGAGAACATTCTCTTTTCTCAAGGCTGCTGTTGCATCGGTCGCTTCTGCACACTGAGGCCACAGACGTCCTGCAAACGGACCACCAGCCGAAGGTCCATGCTTGGAGATCCCGGCGGTCCTAGTGGTTTCACCGGAAAGACAGATGTGTCAAGATGTGTCAATGCGCCAAGTACGTTTGACGTCTGCCTTGTCCCCGTGGTCGGGCCCTGGCCTTCCTGGTGGTCCTGTGCGGCCTTGGAACAGGATTTCCCGAAATCTTTCCGAAAGCTTCAGGCAGACAGACGCGCAGACACCGACAGAGACATCGACACAGAGGCACAAAGACACACAGAGACACACACCATTACACACACACACATACACACACATACACACATTGGGGCAAGAAGCCTTCGGCTGGAAGCCTCCGATGAAGGCAGGGTGCGATGCAGATTAGGACAGGGAAGCAGACACGGCGAAGGAAAGGCTTGCCTTGCTGGAGCCTCGCTGGTGATGGACACCTGAGACACTTGCTCGAATTACGGATAGTGCTCCAGAAATCTCAGTCCAGCCTATGAAAGCACATAACTTGCCCACTGTGTAGCCACATGCATGCTTTCTAGCAGAGCGTGCAGTTACTTTCATACTTGGATCGCTGCTTAGTAACTAGTACGTGTGCGAAAGGAAATTGAAAATAAACAACTACAGTCTCATGCAGATTCATTCGGTTCAAACCTTGACACCTGCCAACATAACAATACACAAACGAGTGTGTCTACATCACATGCCTTGCTGCAAAAGGCGTACCCACACTAGCAACACTCTAGCAACGCACCCGCACACCAGTATACGGCAGATCAGGCCAGGCGTACCCAAACTAGCAACGCACCCGCACACTCGCATACGGCAGATCAGGCCAAGAACGAGCACGTCTTTCATGATTCCGGTAAGCCGGAAGCGAAAGGCGAGCGGAGGGCATAGGGTACCCCGCCTCGTCTGCCGTTATCGCCTGACCCAAGCCAGGTCCAGAGCATCGCCTATCGGGCCTATCGGCTGCCTTCTCGATCTCATGAAAAGCTCAGGCGGCGGGTTGCTTGCGGCATCTTGTTGTATCCACGGTTCCTCCTTATGCGAGTCGGTGCAGCTCCCAGCAAAGCTGACGTGAGAGCCCTGCCACCGCCGAGGAAGGCTGCGACATGGCTAGCCGAGATACTGCCGGGAAAGGTGAGGGAAAACGAAGCCGGAAACTATGCATACAGCATGAAAAAACTGCATGCAGAATGCGTGCACGCTTGCATTCGTGTATGCATGCATCATTCATGCATGTATGTGTGCATGCGTGTACATATCCTCTCGTGTGTATATGGGTGCATGTGTGTGCATGCGCATGTAATGTAGATGCATGCGTCCATGGATGCAAGTATGTCTGCTATGCATCCAAAACGTCGTGTGGCGAGGCTTCCCTGCACATCATGACATCAAAGTCTGGTAAGGATTTTCCTGTAGACCCTTGTAGGCCTCATCAGCACTCGATCGTCAACATCAGCAAACTCGTTTGCCTCACAAGTATTCTGTCTAGCACATGCTCATAGAAAGGCACCGAACAACAGTGTCCCAACAATCTGGAGTTCGAGGTCTCAGCACGCGAGTTGGAGGGGGCAAGGAAGCCTTGACCTGAGCTAGGCAGCTCAGCTAGGTAGCACACGACAAGGAACGCCATCACACGAACTGTAGGGAACCTGTTTGTTTGTTCATACTGTGCTGTTGTTGACTGAGGATACGAGTACTGAGGAACCAGCTCTGTGTCTGCGCCGCTCTCATTCGAAACGGCGATGAAGGTGCGGATATGGACTCATTTCAGGATTGTTTGTCCCATACATGGTTCCACTGCACAGGATCATACGATCTGAATGTGTGCAAGGTATCGCACAGCAGCTCAGGATCAGGCCGAGCCACCATGCGCAACGCAGGTCATGGCCTACGTGCGCGCAATCGACAGCACATAGTCGCTGCAAGGCTACCGTAGCTGGCGATCGAGCAAGCTTCGAAGGAGGCAAGTGGCTGCACTCGTGCCACAGCATTGACAAGCCGACTGCTAAGCTTTGCGCAGACTGACTCCAACTTCTCTCAGGCCTTGGGCATGCTTCCAAAACATGCAAAGGTAGCCCAACAGCTTCATGGGCTTTCAAGAAAGTTCAGAAACTTGGCGCGCAGGCGTGATGGCCTTTTGCTGCTCCCAGGCGGTGAGGTCACGATGGGGCAAGTGACCTGCAAGATCTCAGCGCAAGTTGAGAACCAGGAGCTACCAGCGCAGGGCTTCGCCGACGTGCGCTTTGAACGGCGAGCTGGCAAAAGAAAAGCTTCGTTTTCTCGGGGGGACTTCCGCGATGAACTTGGACTTAGACTGTTGTTTCCAAGAGGCTTGCTCACCGATGGTCTGCTTGGGAAATCTAAGCAGCAAGTCGGCCGTACTATGGCTACGATGGCTCCGTGTTGGTGAAGGTCCTTCTTGCACGCATTCAAGATACTGCTACGGCTGCTGCAACTGGCAACAGATGAATCAGAAGCTGCGAGGGCAAGACTCTTCAGCATCCCTGCACAACGCCCTTGAAGATGTCCAAACATTCTATAGGAAGCTACACCACATTCAATTCGTGTGTTCATCTTCTTGTGCAAGTCGAATTCAAATGCAAACAGCACCATGTCCATTCTGCATGCATGAGCATGGCCAAAAGTACATATCGGCCAAAGACGCATTGTCTGTAAACCCAAATTAAAAACCCTAAACACCCCTGAAACGCATTGGGGCCCTAAGGTAGCAATAAAACCCCTCCGCCTGAGCTCCGGAAGGCGCCCCCAGTGGTGCGGGCCGGCGAGAAGGGCTTTGGGTGTCTTGCCAGGCCGCTCCCTCGAGTCCTGCCCCGAAGTGTAAACTACAGTCCTCTGTGAAACGAAGAATAGTTGTAAGTACCTTTTGAAGGACATGTTTAAGTACATTCCATCTCGCGTCAGCTCCTCTGAGGTACGCGCGTAACGGCAAATACCGACGATTCGCTTGCCTCATCTGAACAAATGCCATTGTAGTAAGCACTCGATCAGGGCTAACGAACGAACGCCAGAAAGTGGTGCAAATTAGTTTCCAGTGCGTGTGGTTTCTTCGTCCGTCTGGGGTGAGTGTGCTTTGTTATTCTCGGGGTGATCGTGCTGGGAGCAGCCGGAATCACCGAGCACTATGCTGCCATGTTCTCGGGATGCCTTACCCTTCACCCATCAATCCATGCAGATTCTTGCCACGCGCCTCCGAGGGGCACTGGCCAGGCAGAAGCGTTTGGTGCTTGGAAGCATCCAGGCGCGCAAGAATCACCTCTTAAATTATCTGCCACAATGGCAGGGTGATGCAGGCTGCATGAAATGTGCATGACTATGGCAGGTATATGTTAGCCATTGCTAGCCTATCCTGAGACGGTCAAAAACCCGAAAAAGTGGGGATATTCGTGACTTTACCCATGACGTTCGTGTCAATGCAGAATAGCAGCGAGAAACATACACTCAGCAAACAATGACTCTGCAGAGTGCGCCAGAGTGCCTTGAGGGTCGAGGCTGGGTTTTGTGCTGGAACTTGCTGCGCGACAGACCCTGGACCCTGCTGGAGGCTCTAAACTACTAAAGCTACGAAACCCTGCAACTCCCCAACCCTAAATAAACCCAGCGGTCTGCAGCCCTTCCCGAGCCACAACCACAAAGCCGTGGCAGCCTCCAATGGCTCACTCTTGTCCACTTCCGCTCCCAGCGCTGCAGTCGCTAGCGCCTCCCCGGAAGATAATGAGGGGCCCCCCAAGGTTCAGCACGGGCGGGGGGGGGGGGGGCCGGCGGTGGACAGTTACGGGGGCATTTGTTAGACCTCACTTCGTGTGACACGGAGTGCCCAGACTGGCATTCACCCATCTGCCTGCATCCTGATACACCTTGCACCGCTATCACAAACACCCTCAACCCTAAACCCTATAGCCCACCATACACTAGGACCGATGTCCCGCCTCCGCAACGACATCAGGATTCATAAGATGTCAGGCTGAACTTGCCCAAGGCTCGTTAAGGTAATGTGGCCGAGTTGTGAATTCTGCGGAACATTCTGCTCTCTTCCAGACGGTTGCTGTTTCGATACTAAATGCTGACCATGAGTTCATGCTCTGCCGCATGGGACAAGGCAGTTTGAGCCTTGCCCAGGTGCCGAGTCCACAATGCCTTTGAGGGTGGTTGCACCGGAGCGACTTGATAAGAAGAAAGCATGGCTCCTTGTGCTCCTTGTTTTCGCAGCGCTGCAATATGCCCTCCTTCGAAGATATAGCACTGGTCGCGCGCAGTGTGCGCGTAACATCAGGGCATGGCAGCGTCGAGCGGCTGAGTGGGGAATAGTGGGGATGCAGGCTTGTGAAGAAAACCGCTGCCTGGGCCTCTGCCAAACAACTCAATGACTAACAGTCACACACTGCCAGACTTAGCAACTCAGGGGCTGGAAGGCCCACGTTGGCCCACATGCTCCCCTCACGCAACTCACCTAAAGTCTAGAATACAACCAAGCGCACAGGCCTTGGAGATCCTTGGAGGCAGCAACCAGTAACAAGTAGGAGTTTTCCGTGTGTTACCATCATCGCCATCGACTTCAAAGCCTATGCTTCGGGAGATGGCCACTTCGGCCGGTCCTACCTACGGCCATCGATGGACTTCAGCGAGCAAGGGCTCCCGCTTGAATGGAGCTAAAACTCATATGCCAAGCCACTGACGGCCATGTCGATGCAAGACATGCACAGGCTACATGCGCTGGCCAGGTAACACGCCAAGCTGTAAACATGCAGTGTAGCAGCTACAAATACTCGGTTAGCGGCTATGTAACTATGCAACCTCTAAGAGGGTCATCTGGCCAGCATGGGCTCTCATAATCTCTCACACCTTCGTCATTGGCCCAACATTGAGTGGGCGGGGTGTGTACAGGACCTCAAGTTGGAAGCTTGTGTTTGAGAAGCTCTCGTTGCTGATCAGGGGCAGCACGGGCATTTGCCACAGCGTCATTGGCGTTGCTTCAATTGGCATTGCTTGTGAAGGCCTGCTCATCTTCACATGTCTTGAATCTTGATGATACTGACAACAATCCAAACATCGAGATCCGCAGCTCGCCTTGGTGGTTCAGGAGGCGGTGGAGACATATCCCATCTGCGACATGGCACCTGCCCGTCTGGCAAAAAGAACAACCTTTTACCACACATGTCCACTCAACAAGCCTGCTTCAGGGGGATGCACGCTGGCACTTTTCATTAGCGCATGCGCTGCAGACCGTGCAACAGCCTGCACCGTAGTTGCACCACGTCTTCATGGTGAACCTCTTAAACATTCGGGGCAGGAGCAATCCACGGATGTATACGTCCAGATGAGGCGCTGCTTGAGCAGTGCATCACATTGATCCTGAAAAGGTACCAACTTCACTCAGGACTGGAAACTTTGTATGGTGAAAATGTCGTAGTGCACGTCGTGCTTCGCACAACTTGGAAGGACAGATCTGTACAGACCCAGTTGGCCATCACTGTTGGAACTGCCTGGCATCTCGTGCTCAGCCATGGATTAAAGCCTCACAGGGAATCAGCGGTACCTATTTGTCTCTACCTGGTCAAGATTAAATTAGGCACCAGATGCGTCTGCCTCTTCTCAACTCCTTCCTCCTCCAGAATTGTTTGGGCCGTATCCAAAAGCTGTGAAACCATCTTCTTCGCACCTTGTAGAGGGGTCAGGTGGCCTACTGAGCTCACATTTTTGCTCATGCTTTCAGTTGCGTGATGTTGCGTGTCAACCGCCGATTTTGGGTTTACACGCTGAGGCGGCCACGCATCGACAAGCCGCCCTCCAACTCCACCCGATTCAGACCATCCGCCAAGAGAGTGCGGAGGTCTGGCCTCCGTACCGCACGTGGCCCGTTGGCTTAAGCAGAACAGAAAAAGAACGAAGGGTGTACCATCACTGGTAGGCTCTTGTAAGGGCTGCACCCCACGGCTGCACGCACCAGGGGATCAGCCTCTGCAGATCATGCAACAACAAGCCCTAGCAAATAATAGCATACATTGAAAGCAGATCACGGTCATGGCGAACTGGGGTCCTGCCTCCGCTGCTTGCTCTGACTGTGATGGCCCAGTCGAATCCTCCAATTCCTGCAACAAGGCTGGCAAGACAAAGGGCAGACCGTGTACTCGCCTTTACCTCACACGTGGGGTTGTTCAGAAAATTTCTGTGACGAGACGATGAAAAGCTATTCCCGAGGGTACCTCCCCAAAAGCAAAAAAACTCAGCATACTCAAACCCTAAATAAACCCTAAACTTCCTGAGAAGCCAAGCCCTAAGGGCACCTCGATGGAGAGAAGGTCAGTACTCGACTGCGGCAGTTGTGGGCTGCAGCCAAATTTCTGCTGCCTCTGGCTTGACAGGGCTCAGGCCAAAGGACGTTTAGGATGCTTTAGGGCCCACTTCGCACGACTTCGGGGCTTTCTTGGCTTATCTTGCTTCCCGGGTGCAGCTGTCGAACACCTGTCCATCACAGGAAGTAAAAAAAGCATGCTCGACCAGAGCACAGCGGGCAAAATCGTTGCTTTCCCATGCGACTGGCATTCAATCTTCACTGGCTTCATGGCATGCATAAAACTTGCACAGATTTCCATGCTAAGATATACTGGAACGAACAACAAACTAGCAATGCAACTCCAGGGGAGTGCTCGGCGTAAGAAGGCACGCAATTCGCAACAGCTCCTCCTAACGAAGTGCAATGCAGCATCTACGGACTGATTTGCCTCGCAAGACCTCCACTGTTGGAACATCCATGTCAGCATTCTTCTCCTGCCAAACATACTGGCAAGGACAAGGGTGTCATTGTGGAGCCCTTGTGGAGCCAGAGCCCTAACGCTTCCGGTGCAGTTTTGTCAAAACACTGTACTCATCACGACTCGACACTCGTCAAGTTCAGCTCAGGACTCGGCGAACCATTTCACCGCTTGGAGAATCGAATCCCAGGCTTGATCTTCGCTCATCTTTACCTCCACAATTTTACCATAAGTTTAGGGCTTGCCGAGAAATGGCATTACCCCTCATTTCAAAATTCATTAGCAGCATGCAAGAAAGGGAAGCAGTGGGAACTCCTGGGAAGCTGTTCGGCCTGTGGGCTTACCCTTGCCCAAGCCTAGTCGCAATCCCAGGCCTTCTTCATGAGATCTTCTGTGGTCACGATGTCAAGGCTTTCCTCCAGCTCTACAAACATGGACTTCTTGGTCTTCATAGTCTTTCCTTCCTCGGATGGGATGGTCACGCAAGACATGCGCTCTGTAGGCTTCGAGACGATTGGTTGCACGTTGACATGGTGCTCTGCTCCATAGGGCTGGAACTTCAGAAAGCCTGTCAGCCTCCTCTTCTTCTTCCGCCTGCTACGATGCCACGATCAACCGTGGTTCTACCTGAAAGCCCGACTTGTTTAGGTCCCCGAGCCTTCTCTTCCAGATAAGCCATGAACGTGTCTTTGGCGTGTGAGAGGCTAATGCGATCGCCTGGAACCACAGTCAACACCTACATTCATCTCATCTCAACACCTGCGCACTTTGCGCCTTTGCGAGCATGGTACCATCTCTGGAAGAAGTCCTTAGCGTCGCAGAAGAGTGAGATGGCGCTTCTCAGGGTTCAGCCGAGCCGAACTTGCAAGGACGAAGAACAGCTGAGCTCGTGTCCATTATGTCGTCCCAAACGGGATCACTGAACTGCGCCTTCGTTTCTCATCTGGTGCTCTCCCCTTCCCGACATATGCCTACATAAGCCTACATAAGCCTGCAGATGCGGGGGAACCCTCTCGGCGCCACTTCTGGCACCAGCCCTTCCACTGCGGCAAGAGGCACACTCCTCTTTGTCTCACCATACACGTCCATGATGATGGCAATCAGCCTGCAGAGAGGCAGACAAGTGGGGTCAGCAACTCGTCACACTTGCTGCCCGAGGGCCAGGCATGTTTAGGAGAATCAAGAGCATGCCGAGCATGAAGGAGATGTGGAACACACCCGCCTGAGCTGAATCGAACGCCAAGCATGGTTTGCAGACTTTGGGTCTATGACTTCTGGGACAAGTGATCATGAAATCTGCGGCGCAATGGCAGTTCAACGACACTCGCAACGTGCAACAGTCTATACGCAAAAGCAGACAGCCTCGGCACGGCTAAAACCGAAAAGGTATCAGGTATCTTGCAAGGATAAAAAAAGGTACGCTTGTCTTGGAACGCGTGACGACAAGGGCATTTTGTACGGGGTGTTGATGTAGAACCTTTTTGCTCAACTCAACATGCTCTCACCGCAAATACAGACCATCAGGAACCAATCTCGGTTGTCTTGATTTTATGTCCACACAAAGAAGGCCAGCTAGAGCAACTCTGAACGTGAGGATGCAAACCTGTCTCCTGGATTTGCATGGGATTGGGGCAAGCTCAACAACTGCGCGCCGTTCAAAATCAAGCAAGGTCAAAGTTTCGGGACCCTTTGAAATACAGTCCAAAAGACTCACCCCAGTGCACTCCACAACACGGGAATAAAGCACTGACACTGGAACACAGGCTCCCTCCCTATCTACGAATCTCAGGGACAGCGCACAAAGTTCCAAACGAAGGCAGAGGTTCAATAGCTCGACCAGCTTGATCCTCCATGGAGACAAAGTCTGCATCTCCCATCAATGATCGGAAGAGGGTGATGAAGGCCATACCAAAATCTGCATAGCCTGCACAGCGGCATCTTGCAAGGAACAGCAGTAGTAAAGTAGTGCTGTCTGGTGTGCGCGTGCGCGCGTGGTGCATACCCGGATGCGGCAAACAGCAGAAGCTCCGGCCTTCATACCTACATGGGCTATTTGTACCCTAAAACCCCTTAAAAAGGCCCTTACAGGGGGTTGGTTAGGCCGGTTAGGGGATTGTAAGGCCTACTAGCCCATGCTGGTAGGTCATGAGAGTGCATGCAGCATCCGGGGCAGGGCATGTGCTGAATGACCAAGGCTAGCCCGCTTTGGGAATCAAAGGTTCAAAAGCATATTTAGTAAGAGCCCCAAGCAACCTTACTAGTCAATGATGGCTACAAATGGCAGAGTAAAACTCGCAACGAAAGCATATTCAGTGGATTCAAGACTCCCTCCCATTTTGCCCCGGACAGTCTCATTCTCCGTGTGGACTCAATTTCGAGCCTCTTTGAGAGCCTCTGAGCTGTGTGATCCGCCTCGTGACTCCCTCGACTGCCCTTCGAATAGTTGGAGGGGCGCTTGAGGGGGCCATCAGAGTAGGTTATGATCGGGCAAGCGGTTTGACTTCATACTGCCAGTGCATTGCACACTTGACACGCCAAAAGTTCGCACCTTCGACTGTTCGCCCGAAGAAACCCATGGCCATGAAGACGTATGTCACGAAGACGGACAAGAAGATGATGCCGAAGTGGACCTGGGCCAAAGGACGCCCAGAACGAACTCAACGAAGCTCCTGCAAAGCCTGCAAAAGATATTTCTTCCACCTGCTCGCACAAGTCAAGCCTGTGACTTGTGAGGGCCTACACGTGTCTGTCTAACTAGGACCTAGGGATGCGATGTGCCTGGAGATTCCATGAGCCTACCAACCCCATACGAAAAGTCTGTGGAATGGCAGCAAGCCATATATCTTGAAAAGGGCCGGTTCGCCAACCTTGCGCAGCCCTTTCATGAGCTACACTGCGGCGGGAATCATATGTTCCCTTAAGCTGCCCCCGTTCCACCGAGGGTCACCGAGGCAGCAGCAGTCGGTCGATTAACGCTGTCTTTCGTGCTCCGTGAGTATTGCGGGGGGAATTGCTTCCTCTCTGGGTCACTCAGCCAAGCAACCAAGTCTGCAAAAGACATCCACAAAGTTCGGGTGACCACCTTTGGTGCAAGTCGTCTTCTCAGGCTCATCACAATTCCCTGCCTCTGCGGCCAGGCAGCTGCCAGCCGGGGCTGGAGTGAGAAGGTCTTGAAGAGCCGAAGCAAGATGCAGAACGGAAAGAAGCCTTCTTATTGCCGATGTTCCATGGATCAGGACTGGAAAGACATACGACACACACACACACAAAGGCTCTTCCAAACGTATGGAAGCCAACCAAGGGTCGGGCTGCTGACCTGAGCCAAGAAATTCAAGAACCATTTCTAGTCCGAAGCAAAATACGAC